TAAATTGCTGGCTATGTGCTGTAATAAATTCATTCATTCATTCATATTTTTCAATAATGGTAGAAGTCCAGTTTGGATTCTGTGAGTGCTCTTCTTATATCCCATTGTTTAAAACATACAGATTTGGACACAGATTAACCATGATGAAGTACAAACAGGCAACCCACAAGGACTTGTGGGGGGGGGGGTTATCTCATTTCCCCCTCGTCCACTATTTCCAGAAAGCCACCATAGCCTCTACTCTTTTCCTGCTACCTTCTCACCTGCCAGTGAACCTATATTTACCTGCTCTCCTGTCTTCACCTAGGAGACCTATGGCTCAGCTGCAGAGCACAGCTGACCAGGCACAATAACTGCATATCAGGGGCCACTCACTTTCCCCGTGTCCCACTCCCCACACTATTCCCCTTTTATTTACTTTTTTAAAAATAGTTTTTATTATTTTAGGATTAACAGCATATATCCAACCAAAACTTTTAAAACATAATAAACATAAAAGGAACTTGAACATCCTTATCACAGTATTCAGCAATGTTACAATTTCCACATGACATATAGACTATTAGCACAGGATAGTCACACAAAGGTTTAACTCTTTACACAAAAATTCAGAAAAGTTAAGTCTTTGTAATACTTGTTTTTAGGAATAACCTTATGTTGCTTCAGATATTGTTACAGGGTACCATACAGCTATGAAATCTTCTGGTTGTTTCTCTGACTGAGACATTAAAGTATCATTCAAGAATCTCACCTAACACAAAGTGATTCCACAGTCCAGAGCGCCACATTCGCAAGATAGGTACCTTTTTATATTTCCAGGTATATGATATCAATATCCTTGCCTCTGCTAATAGACTAGAAATCAGTGTATTTTTTGCCTTTGACCCTTTTATTTACTTCATATCCTACCTTCCTCCACAATAGAGAAATTCCAAAGTAATTTGGAACCATTAAGAATTTGATAGCACAAATGATACATATGTGGCTGTTAGCTAGGACATAATCATCTATGTATCCAGGGCTATTTTTGGGCAGGAACGCACAGGAACGGAGTTCCGGCTGGCTCCCGTTGGCCACACCCAGCAGGAACTCATTAGCATAATAGGCCACACCCAACAGCAGGAACTCATTAGAATTGGCTACATTAGGGGTGTGTGGCCTAACATGCAAAGGAGTTCCTGCTACAAAAAAGCCCTGGGTTTTGACAACAAACAAGGTAAAGAGAATAAGAAGCAAAAGGTGGGTGTGGCTGGATGACCACACTTCTGGTAACATGGGAATGCGGCCTAATATGCTAATGAGTGGTGCAGTCAGGGGTGTGGCCTAATATGCTAATGAGTTTCTGCTGCTGGGTGTGGCCTATTATGCCAATGAGTTCCTGCTGGACTTTTTCTGCAAAAAAAGCCCTGTATGTATCTAATAGTGACGTGTGGCCCCCGTGTGCAGATATTTGTGGATCGAGGCTGCACCAATGCTAAAAAAATTTCAGGCATACTTGGGGGAAAAAAACCCCAGGTATTTAGAAAAATCTGAAATCTTTTAACACATCAGGGGGAGTTAAATTCACCCCAAAACACAAATGCTCCATCTGTGCATGCATAGACAACACAACTATCTACCTCCTCCTTGGCAGCAGTGATGGTGGCCAGGATCTAGTAGAGTCCCAGCAACGGTGGGGGTGAGCGGACCTGGTGGAAGCAGTGCTGGGGGGGGGGGGAGCCAAAGCGGGACCAGCAGCACAGGCTGCAAGGTAAACTTGGGCCCAGCAGCAACAGCAGCATAAACCGCACCAGGCCTGGCAGCAGAAGCTACAAGCCACACCGGGTCCGGCGGCAGCACTTATGGGGTGCAAGCTGCAGTGGGCCAGGCAGCAGATACAGGCTACACCGGAACGAGCAGCAGAGGTAGCAGCCGCAGTGATGGAGGGCAGAGCGAGAGGATGCTGCAGCAGGATTGGCAGCAGAAGCTGTGAGCTTCACGAGGTTTGGTGGCGGCGGCAGCAGTGGGAGGGAAGCCACACCAGGCCCAGCAGCAGTGCTAAGAGAGTAGAGGCTGCTATGGGCTTGGCGTAGAGGCTTTGAGCTGTGCCAAGCCCAGCAACAGCGGCAACAATGTGGGGTGGGGTGTACAGGAAGCCGTAGCGGGGAAGACCAAGAGCTGCGCTGACTTGCTGCCAGTGATGTTTGGCTGGTTCAAAAGCCTCAGCGAACCCGTGGATGGGGATCTGGATCTGCAGCAGCCAGCAACAAAGCAATGGTATTCCCAGTAGTCATGTATGGCTGCGAGAGTTGGACTATAAGGAAGGCCGAGCGCCGAAGAATAGATTCTTTTGAACTATGGTGCTGGAGAAGACTCTTGGGACTCTCAAGAAGATCAAATCAGTCAATCCTAAAAGAAATCAACCCTGACTGTTCCCTGGAAGGCCAGATAATGAAACTGAAGCTCAAATACTTTGGCCACCAAATGAGAAGGGAGCACTCCCTGGAGAAGACCCTGATGCTGGGAAAGATTGAAGGTCAAAGAAGACGGGGACGGCAAAGGATGAGATGGTTAGACAGTGTCATAGATGCAACGAACATGAAATTGAGCCAACTCCAGAGGACGGCGGAAGACAGGAGGGCCTGGCATGATCTGGTCCATAGGGTTGCAGAGTCAGACTCAACTGTGCGACTGAACAACAAAAAGGATCCCCCGTGGATATCACAGACCCCCACTTGTATATTCTAATAGTCAAGTGTTGGCCAATCTGTAGACATCACAGAGCAGACCCACAATGGCAGAGTTTTCTCCAGAGGACCCCCAGGTTTGCAGAAAATTGTCAGTTATACTGCCATTGTGGCTGGTGGAGGGGGAGGTGGTTGATTTGTGTCTTCTTTCAGGTTTGGTATGTTTGGTTTCGATTCTCAGTATTCCTTTTATCGTGGTTTGACCTTGGTGTCTGCTGCACTGCTTTCCCTTGGAATGCAAACCCGTTAGTTTTAGGCGCACAAAGGCTTCTTCCCTGATTGGCTTTGAGCCATCAGGAGACCCTGCTCTGAACCAGGTATAATTGACCCTTCCCCGCTTTTTTAATTAGTTCTGACACTGAACGTGTATGGATGACTTGCCTGTACTGGAACAATAAACTGAAACTTCATTGAAAGCTTGTTGATTCCTGATTGCTGCAAAACTATGACAAAAATCTGAAATCTTTAAATACATTTGGGGGGGTTTAAATCACCCCCGAAACAGTAAGGTCTGCATGCACAGAGATAACATACCTGCCCAGAAGCTGACTCCTGGGAGCTCAAGCTGCCAATGCAGTGGCTCCTGGGAGCCCAGCCACTGCAGCGGTCACAGCAAAGACAGCCCCAGCAGCCCCAAAGTCAGTCAAGGCATAAGTCTGGTTTGATCTGCTGTTGCTATTTATAGTTTTACTGTTTTATTGCTTGTTGATTTTATGTTGTGAGCAGAGTTCCCTCTAAGCCTTGGAGTCTTCTGAGCAAAAATTCGACTTTGTGAGCTACTGGCATTAAGGTTGTGAGCAAGTGATTTGGCTACTACATAAATTAGTTTGCTCCGGAGCCCTCCTTCCTGAGCTGAGACAAAAATGTGTGAGCCAGAGGCTAAAAAACTGTGAGCTAGCTCACACTAACTCAGCTTAGAGGGAACACTGGTTGTGAGCCACCCTGAGCCCATTTTTTTTTGCAGTAGGGCAGGGTATAAATGTAATAAATGAGGTGGGGAGGAGAGAGATGGGGGAAGACTGACAGAAGGGGAAGACAGAAGGAAGCAAAGGCAGTGGGACGAGATGCTCCCTTGCAGCAAGTTCCTTGTCAATATATCTCATTCTCAAAGATAGCCTAATCTGTGGATACTTAAATCCAAAGATATGAACCATGAGCAGACAGGAGGGACCTTTCTACAAACCTGAGAAAAGTCCCAGGCTTGTAGAAAAATCTGAAAAAAACAAAAAGGAAACAGCACCAGTAACTTTAAGGAATGAACAGCCTCCCAGTGGCCATTTGGGGGTCGCTAGGCAACCAGAACAGTATGGCCATTTTTTGGTGCAGTCTTTCCCCTTTTGCTCGTTAAGGGTGGGGGAGGGGCAAGACCCTTTCCAAAGGTCTTTTGGCCTCTGAGAAGGCTCACTGGGGTCAGGCGAGCAGCAACCACCAGACAATTCGCCACCATTCAGCTTGCGTGGCTGTCCCAGGATGGGACTGCTTGATATTGTTTTAACAGCAGCCAACCCACAAAAGCTACTTTGGTACAGTGATTAAGTGGTGAGGGAGGAGAAAAGGAAACAGTGAAAGGTGAGGATACAGGGACTGCCAGGAGGAAAGAAATGGTTTGGGGAAAGAGATATAGGGGAAAGTGTGGTGCCCCCCCAAAAAAAATTCCTTGCAGGTTACACACCATGCAAATTGGCCCAGTCAGGCCAGTACCACATACCCTGGCCCAGCCAGTACTTGCAGTTGCACCAGACTTTTCCAGGACAGGATGCCAAAGTGAGGGAAGAAGGGAAAACTGGGCTAGGTGGGGGCAGATACACATAGGCTGGCTAGTGGGTGGGAAGGAAAGGAGAGAGACTATTGTGTGCTTTCAAGAAAGAGGAACTAGTGGCAGGGAAGAAAATGACATACCCCCTTTTAAGTCCCTGGAATTCCACTACTTGTTGTGGTGCATTTGTCATGCTGTGTTCTGTAGGATTATTAGTGCAGGTCACTTTCTATCATCCCCCATTTTAAACAGATAAAGAGATTCTTGAATACTATTTGCTATGGTGTAAACCCGGGGAAACTGAAGATTGTATCATGTATGTGATAACTGATTGTGTAAGTACCTACAATACCATATATTTTGTGAGAAAGGTGAAGAGAGATCCCGACATGTTTGCAGAAACAAAGTTTTATTATTTACATACACAAGTCTAGTTTTAGACTTTGAAACTCTTTACATTTCTAGAATATTTACATGATTTCAAGATACTGAGTGATGAACAAAAATTACAAAGGCCATCAAAGCATAGCAAAAAAAATCCATCACTGTGCTTTAAAACTTAGAATCTAAAGTAATGTCAAAAATGTAAATTTAGCACCTTCCTCGTAACGATCATGCTATGGTGTTAACATAAGACACTTTTTAGAAAGCAGTAGGGATCTCAGATGTGACTGTATCCAAAGGCTGCCAATGACAGCTCATAAGTGTGTCAAAGAGTTCTTCACTTCTCACCATAAATTCTCTGTTCATTCTGTGAACATCTACATGGAGCTGTGGATCTGTTCAAACAAAGAGTAAGCAAAATACTTATTAAGGAAGCTGCTATACAAAGGAAAGACCAAGAGCTGAGTTTTATATTTTTCAACAAATATTAAATATTTTTGAAACGACGTACAACAGTTTAAACGGAGAAAGGCTAAAATACTCAAGAGTATCCCTTTGTACTTTCAAAATGAAGAGTGGTCTCGCTCTAAACCCCAAATTATGTTTTTTTGTTGTTGTTGAAGGAAAAAGCAGCTCTGTCTTCTACCTCTTAATGTCTCTTAAGTGTTTTTTTTTTAGCTATCCCTAGGAAGACACAGGCTTTTCTTGAGACTGGCCACAACCAATTTAGGTGAACACCAAAAAAACCTGTCAAGGAACCTTTTTTAAAAAACAGCAATAGTACTCCGTGCTATCATTAATTATCTCTAAAATCTACCTAAGTACCAAAAGTCGGTGTCCTTAGGGTGTACTGAACTGCAGTTCAAAAGAGCCAAGATCTGCTAGGAGAGCTAACAATATGGTTTTCTGGCCATTTTTTATACAGACTCTTACATGTGGAAACTTGTAGATTAGTGGACAAATAGTGCACTGAGCCCAGGAAAATGGATGGAGCAACTGAGCTAAAACGGTATTTCAATATATGGATGTTAGTTTGTATACTGTGTTTAATACATATTCTGCGATCATACGCTGTACACCCTCATCTTATTTTTAATATGTCTATCTTTGTTAATCTCCATATAATACTGGCCTGGCTATCTTGCAGCAACAGAAACCACTATTTTTCAAGAGGTGCCCCCAATGCAACAACACTGAGCATCAAATGCCACAGAAGCACTATATTTTTAATTACCTTCTGTTATTAAATCATCATTCATAGCCATTGCAGTCTCCTGAAAGAAGCACAAAACATGTCATTTTTCTTTTTTAAAATCCTACTAATTTTTAAAGGAAAGTCTAGATCCATGGGCTCTTCTTCATTTGAGTTGTTATATGTCTTATGATTTAACTCAACTAAACTGAGTTGCATCTGGAATCTCTTATTGTTAAGAATAAAATATGCACAGAGGCCAATAGTTTAGAAATATTACTCCTGAAAAGGCTTGCTTGCATTAAATGTTAATTTAACAACATCTGCTGAGATCAGCTACATAACTGAAGTTCACAGCAGTAACTAAGTTATTTGACTGTAATTCTATGTATGCTGACTTGATTATTAGATTTCTATCCTGTCCTCCCGGCCAAAGCAAACATTCAGAAGATCAGGCTGGAGGGACCTTACACAATTATGATGATTTAGAAATTAGACAGGGCACTTGGATCTCGAGTTTCTACCTGTCATTTCAGTGTCTCCCTTCAAAACATTAGCACAGGCTTTAATGCAAACATTAAAAACCAGCCACCAGTCATATTTTAAGACCTACAACCAGCCTCCTTACCTAAGTCCTGAAAATCAGTTTTTAAATTTGTGATTACCTGAAATACAGCTGGATTCATAGATTGCTGTCCCATATTTCCAGTTTGTTGCATCCTTTCATAAGCGGCATAACTGTAGTTGTAGTCACCATAATCGGCGTAGTCTCCATATTCAGGATAGTCACCATATTCTGGGTAATCACCATAGCGGTCACCAAAACGGGGACCAAAGCGCTCAGCATAACGTTCAGGAAAACGTTCACTAAACTGCTCAGGGTAGCGGTCTGGAAAACGTTCACCAAAACGGTTCCCTCGTTCGAAACGGTCAAAGCGTTCATAGCGATCAAAGCGTTCATTTCTATCATAATTATACTGCCGATAGTAGTTCTGATAGTCTTGGTAATAGTCATTATAGCTATACGGCTGGTACCGCTGAAATTCTGTTTTCAATCTGAAACACAGGATGGAAAAGGGAAGTTAGAATTTCCTGAAAGTAGGAGATAAGACCACTAAGGTCACTAAGCAAGACAGCTACAGACTTAGCATCCAGAATTTTTTTTTTTTTTAAAGGTTCGTCACCACTGTGTTATGAGAAACATCCATGTTTATGATTAACTGCTACTCAGAAGTGGATTTGCAAGCTCTCACTTGACTTAGTAGCCAGTTTCAAACATCACAGATTGTGCTGTAGAGAAGGGCAGAAATGAAAGACTCCAGGTGCTTCTGTCTTCTCCGAAGCAAACACACTGTGACCCAGGGTTCTCTATTCATGAAAGGAGACATGGGGAAACTCTTATCTAGCACTTCATGACTATCTTTGAAGAAGCAACACCCTTTTTTTCTATATGTAACATGGAAATTATCTGTGCTGAGTTGTGGCCATTCGGATTAAGTTATAGTATCAGCTAGGGTGTGAGAGATCTGGGTTCAAGTCCTCCCTTAACTAGGAAACTTACAAGATACCCTTGGACCAGTCAGTCTCTCTCTAGCTAACCAATGTTGCTATGGGGGAAAATGGTGGCAAGAACCACATATACTGCCTTGAACTCTTTTTGGAGAGGGCAAGCATAAAAATTTGACAGTTTCTTGAACACTGGTGAGATAAAATGGCAGAATATGTGATCATGGCCAAATTAACAAACTATATAAAAGACCAGTCAGAAAATTTGAAAAAAGGGGAAATTACTATGCTTATTATAAGATGAAAAATGAGTGACTTGTATTAAAGTTACTATAATTATTTTTATTTTTTCATCATTATAACGATAGCTTAGGCACTAATATAATTGCACTAATATAATTTTGTTATAGATAGTAGTACAATGGTATAAATATAAGTGTTCTCTGAAATGCTGTATTCAAGCCCATAAAAATAGTTTTTGACGTATATATGAACCTTGTTTATTGTTATCCTTTTTAGACATGCTCTTAAAATACACTTTTTAAATTATAGTTTATGACAACCATAGTGGTATTAAGATGTAATGGAACATATAATGTAATAATCAATGTCTAAAATTTAATATTAATAGTAACTAACGGTAATAAAGGCTAGGCTTTAATAATAAATCTATACAGTATGTAAAAACCTTCCTAAAATTTAATATTAATAGTAACTAACGGTAATAAAGGCTAGGCTTTAATAATAAATCTATACAGTATGTAAAAACCTTCCTAATACTATGTATTTTAAATGTGTATGTTAAATGCTCTATATTTACTCTGATGTTATAAGTTATATATTATTATAATATCTCCCCCTTTCCCTTGTTTTTCTGTATCCATATTTTAATTTAAAACAACAACAATAATAAAGCTATTCAGACAAAAATCAACAGCTTCTGATTGGATGTACAACTTATAAAGACTTAATCAACACAGGCAGGAACATAAATGAAAAATATGCTCCTGAAGAGTTAAATATGACTTGCTTTATACAACTGCATACGAAAGGAATACGAAACACAGGGATGTTGCAGTACTCAAAAACGACCTGGATACGTCTGTTCATAAACAAAGACTATTACAGGCAGAAGATTTTATCATTGCTGTAAAGACACAGGTATAGAAACAGGAGAGCTTGTTCAGGATATCTATTTGCCACATTCTCCAAAAGATGCTCAGTCAACTGAACCAACTGTCTTTGCTTTGCTGATCAGAGACAGACTACAAATTTAAAACAGCCCACAGGAATGTGAGAGATTACAGTATTTGTTTTCTGGTTTTTGTGGACCTTAGTACAACAATACAAAGAGGAAGAAAAACCAAAATGGATAACCATATCCACAATACAAAAAAAGGAGGGTCTGTGATTTGTCCATAGGTACAAAACTTGCTTCTTAGATAGTGAATGAGTTACTATCAGACAGTGCCACCAAAAACGAAAGGGGGTGAAAAGGTCAGATACAAGAATCAGACACACAGAGATCAATTTTAGGTGTGAGGCTCCAGTAGATCAACAAATACCAAAGTGAGGAAATTCAAGTACCATCATCATCCTTTGCTAGTGACATTTAAAGTTTTAGAAGTGGCAGCAGGACAAACATAAGTAACCTAACACAAACTGGAAGATCTTAACATTTATGGGCAGTTTATGGTTTATTACCTTTTAGAAATTCCTAAAGTCAACCGGATTCGTTTCCCACCTAGACCAGGTGCATTCTGACAATCTTGCAGGGCTCTCATCATATCACCTTCATCAGAAAACCTGACAAAGCCATAACCCCTAGACCATCAACAAACAATTTAGTTAAAATCAGCACAAAAAAAAAATAATACATTGACTTACCATCCAGTTTAGTATGCTGGCAGATCAAGCTTACCACTTGTTTTCTTGCCTTTTAAACAAACATCTGAACAGTAAAAAGAACTGGGAGGTCATATTCAGATTTACTCCTCAAAACCTATACCATCATGAGCTATTGAAATACTGACCCTCTAAATTACTGTATTTTCCACAGTGGATTTTGTTGCCTACCGATACCAGTACTAGAGAAGGTGACACTCTGAACACTTGCCAGTGCCACATTGGTAAACATCCACTGAAGCGCAACTGTGCCCTAATATACTAAAACTGTGCCTCTTCTATTTTACGCCTCTTCTTGAATTTAGTGGCGGTTGGCATGCCTTCCTTTCAACATTAAATTCAATTTGTCCACTGCAGGATCTTTAGTGTCTACTACCAAAAACAGCCCAAAAATCTGTTCCATAATGTGAACATGTTTCAGCTCTACAGTTCCATCTTTCCTTTGAAGTCACACCGAGGACTGCAAAAATGCAAGGCAAGCCTACCGTGACTAATACCTCAGCCCTAACAAACAGTATCTGAACACTGATCATTATCTTTCACAATGCTTCCTTGAAACAGTGGGTATGTATGCTTCTGCTCACTGGCACACTTGGGACCAGGTCATCAAGACAGCAATCCTAAACAGGCCTACTCAGTATCCTACTCAAGTGTATTCAATGGGGCTTACTCCCAGGAAAGTATCCTTAGGATGGCACTATTAAGTGACTTATAAAAATCAGTACCTTACTCGAGTTCCCAAAAACAAAAGTGGGCTCCTTTATACAGTTGTAAGCAGTTGTAAAAAAGTTCTAGGCACCAATATTTCAAATTTGCAATGATTACCTGGAGTACCCTAGCAGATCTGTGGCCACTTTACAGTCTACACAGGATGGATACCTCTTGAAAAAGTAGTCAAAGAGCAAGAAATCATCCACTTCAGGAGTTATCTCCCCTACAAATATTGCAAATTCTGGCCTGGAAAATTCCGTCGCCCTAACAAATTCTTGTCTAGGAAATTCTGGCCTAGAAGGAAGGGGAAAAATACACACATCAGTCTTGCTGTTATATAACCCTCTGGGCCCTGCATCCACTAGTTACCTTCCATAGTCAACCACTCAAATACCTACCTAGGTTTCATCCAGCCAATACTTGTTTGTCCTTGTCCATGGTGCATTCACTGGCACCATGCACAGAAGAAAACACTGTCTTTGATCATGTTTGAGCCACAATCCTGACACCACTTGTTCTGAAAATCTACTCTGGACCAAATCATAAGAGGGCCACTGCCTCAGTACAAGCTACTGTTACCGATTATCCAAGCCATAAATGCTGTTTAATCTGTTTAGTCTTATTGAATGACACTGAACAAAGTTAGTCTAAGCTTAAGTAGTCACCAAACTCACTTTGTTATCTGTGCTTTCTCTGTGATTCCTGACAGCAATCTGCAAAGAAACAATGTGCAACATTTTTTCTTTACTATCAGTTATCAAAGCATGGCTTTGCTACCAACTAAAAATCATGACCACCATAAACATAACATGAGGGGGAGAACCCATAAAATTAGAAGTTGGGGAGAACCCATAACATTATAGAAGTTGTTTTTTTCCCAAATCAGCTAACAGTTCTAGCTGTTTGCTATTTCCTCCATTAGGGTGTTGTTTGAATAATTTAGAGGACTCTAGTTAACAGGCATCTTTGGTACAATGCAACCTGTTCACCCTAGCTCTCAGCACACTGCAAGGTGAGCTATGAGTGCAGAAGGCTGATATGTTGTAGACCCAACTTCTATGACTTTGTTGCACCCAGCCTTAGAATCCATCTCTATTTTCCAATAATTTTTTTTCTGAAATAGAAGCAAGAATAGGAGATGGAATTTAACAGAAGTATCAATAAACAAACAATTACACATCTGATTTAAAAATCAACTCTCCAAAATATTGTAATGTTAAGTTGCTTTGAGCAAAGGAGAAGGAATACTTTTTCTTAAAAAGCAGCTCATTATTAGTAACCTTTATTATCAGTGACTATTAAAATAATGTGAATAATGTTAGCACGAACATTCTGTTCATATATTTCAGTAGTTAAAAGCTTCTTGAAATCATAATGATGAATAATTTAAGAATAGAAACAAATTAAAATAACTATTTTCTTATAGCTAGCTTTGCTCTAATCACAGACAAGATTGCGCTTTATTTTGTGGAAATATTAAAAATCAAACTGATTGGGGAATTGAAAGCTGGAGGGAAATATAACATGTGAACACCAGTGAAACTGGAAACCCAATATTGATCCCAGCTGTGTAAGCAACTGTAAATGTTTTCTGTTGCTGAAGTATGTTTCTTCACTTCCTAGACTCTGGCATGGCTATTTTTTTTTCAGTGTATGTCCTCCAAGGTGAAGTAGATATGACACTGTACATGGGAAAACCTTAAACATCTTAAAGATTAACAGTTCAGAGCACATATTGACACAGAGGAAGGCATAATCAGAAAACCTTCTGGGAAGCAGTGATCAACCCAAGAGGATAGAACGCTTGTAAGTTCTGGATGGCTACCATCAGATGCATCCTTCTTCGTGTGGAGTACAGTATTCTTCCAACAGTCCAGGAGCCATTCTCTATTGAAGCCTCTTGCCTGATTATTTTAGATAACATTCATATCAACTGAGCTTTGGAAAGCTACTAAATATATTCAGCAGCTCTGTCAAGACTTATATTTTAAATTTAGCTACTTATTCTATTCATAGAACTTTACAAAAAGGATTTTTCAGAGTAACCCAAATGTGTTGGTTTTGATTAGCTTTTCACTATTTGATTTAGAGATTATTATATGGACAAGAGCCAGCTTTTTTCTTGTCAGTTTTTCAAGGTTTCTTCACCTGCTTGGAATACTAGTAAAATCTGGTCTTCCTGCTCTTGCTTTACTCTTTTTCTTCCGTTTTTTGTGGGGGGATCTCCACCACAGAGGCAGGCTTTCTTTTTTGGCCTTTCCCACTGTATCCTGCTAGAATGAAAAACAGTTATACAGTATTTCATCACAATTAAATGCCTCCCTCCCTCTCCCGATCACCACCTTGGTGATTTCCCCATATTCACCTTTCCCTTGACAGAAGCCTGGGGTCCCATCTCTCCCTCCGCCTCCCATGAGGGAAAGCAGCCTCTGGGGAAAATGCCTGGCAAAAATAACAGAGCCAAAGGATTGTATGAAAAGCCATATTCCCCTGACTTTGTCAAGCTGGCTAAAGGGAGTGACTGCTTTTCACGCCAACGTTTTGACTCCCTCGGTTTCCTTAATTTAAAAAAAGTTAACCATTAGAGGCTGACCAAGCTTCGTAGTTTATGAGTTGCTTTACAACAGGGCCCTGCTTGAGTGTCCTGAGACTCGCTCAGAGACACTATAGCACAAAGAGGCCCCCTTATCAATGAGAGGCAGTGCCAGAGCACTTTTTTTTTACCCAGATGAGGCCCTGGCCTCCTCCTTGCAAGGAGCCCTTCTTCTCCAAGAAGACTGTCCACACTGCGAGATGCAAATCATTACCTCAGGGTAACTACCAGGGGCAGGACAGAGCCATGGGGAATTCCTGTCCAATTTTCATGAGAGCAACATGCAACAAAAATGTTGCATTCAAAAAGGAAGAAAGATGAAACCAGCAGAGGCAAGGGAGGTAAGGAGGCAGTAGCCGAGGCAGTAGCCAAGGGAACTCAAGTAATATCCCTCACCTTAGGGATACAGAAACAACATTTTCATTACTTACATGGATAGTGGCATTTCACTTCTAGTGCACCGTGTAGTACCCTAAATAGTGAGTGTTAAAGGAAGAGTCCCACCACAAGAACTCACTCTTAAACAGTGCGGGAAGCAATGCCTCATCAGCCTTCCCACAACAAGCTGCTTTACTTTAAGATTTCCACAGCAGGGGAGAGAAGACTTGTCAGAAATGTATCTGGGAAAGCGTAGGGCAACCCTCACCCCACACCCATACACGGTTGTAAGCCTGACATTTACCAACAGCTCGGGCCTGGTTATGTCCCTCCTCCCCAGGAGTTAAGACAGTGGGGCTCATTCTCACCAAATGATCTTACCTGGCTAGCCATTGTTAAAAGATATCTTCACAGGAAACGTAACCCCAGCAGCTTTCCTTTCTAGTACTCTTTTTTTTGGGGGGGGGGAGAAAAGAGGGAAAAAATATATATGTTTCCATGAAAAGACAGACACATATACATAACTTCAATACTTTAAGTTTAACCTACAGATCTGGCTCTTAAACAAGCTAGAGACACCTCATGCAAAAGCTTTGCTTACAATTTGCAAGAGTCTGTCTTTGGCAGCTCATTGTTTACTTCATTTATACTCTAGCTTTCTCCCCAATAGTGACCAAGCAGCTTATATAATCCTTCTCGCCTCCATTCTACCCACAAAAACACTCCTGTAAGGTAGGTTAGGCTGAGAGTGTGTGACTGGCCAAAGGTCACTTCAGTGAGCTTCTGTGGTTCAGTGGGGACCTGAACCTCAGTCTCTGAGATCCTGGCTTGACACTCTTAACCACTGCATTGGGCTGGCTCTTGTTATGCCACACTTTGTCAGAACCACATACTGGTACATTAGAATGGCCCCACATTTTCTCCCATTGTTGAGTTTTCTGTACTGCACAAGAAATTGCTTAGCTCTGACAATGTCATCATGCCACCTTTCCCAGGTTCTCTTTTGATGATGGGATATTTCGTCTGATTTCTAATGATTCATCTCTAGAAAGGCGTTCGTATGTAGGTATGAAGCAGGAACAGGCATTGCTACTGCCAGAATGGTAATACCCATGGCACCACCTGGCATGGCCAGAGCTGATTCCCCCCGCTACAGATGGGCATTTCCATTTATTAGCAAACACAGCCATGCATACTTATGGCAATGCTTCTATTGTACAACAGTCTTGCCAGCAATTCAGTATTATTTTGGCTCATCTTACATAATAACCCATACGTCATCTGCATAAACAATAGAGACTGCATTATTGAAAAGCAAGATAAAAATGACTCCGCTAAGCCATTTTCATCTAGTTAGGCATCTACTTTGATAACCCAGTTTCTTCAGTTTAGCCAACTGTCAAGAAATAATGGCAAACGATGAAGAAATAAAGTTGTTCTGTAAGAGAACCAACAACTGTATTTTCTTTAGTTACTAAAAAAACACAGTATAATGCAATCATTCTGCAGGTCTCTAACAGTATACCAAGACTTCAACAACAACAAAAAGCTTGGTGGAGTTGCAGATGGAACCATAAGCTGCTGTATTATCACGCCAATGCAGTAAAGCAAGCTGTTACCACCATCCCAGAGACCATTATGATAAACCAACATGGTGGTGGTTTTGTTTCTAGAGTACAGACAGCCAGACATTTTTATTAGCTCTGGTAAAATATACGTTAGTGGTGCTAGTGCAATGCTCCATTTTCAAGATACTGCCAGACACATAATCATTTTTTTAAAAAAGACTTCTTCAGCAGCTATGTCTTCAGATTGAATAATTTCACTTTTTGCCGTTTATGCAACTTACCAGTCACTGTGCATTACAAAAACTGCCAGAAGGTGATGAGTACCAGAACAAGATGTGGTCCAGTATATTAACGGCTACAGGTATTATAACTCATTTACTCAAAAGGATTTTTGATACTTTTTCCTCCAAGATTGTTTAATGACCTGTTTTCACTGTAACACAAACAAATGAAATGCAAATCAGAGGCAAACAAATCATCATTTATAACAGTACAACTTATACTGTATTTTGGTGGGGGGAGGAAACTGCTATTTGGTTACTGGTAATAAGTGCTTGTGTACTCCCATCTCTGGCCCCAGCTCCTGCCAACCTAGCAGTTCGAAAGTAAGAAATTGCAAGTAGATAAATAGGTACTGCTTCGGTGGGAAGGTTACAGTGTTCCGTGCGCCTTGGTGCTTAGTCATGCCGGCCACATGACCACGGAAATGTCTTTGGACAGTGCTGGCTTTTCTGCTTTGAAACGGAGATGAGCACTGTCCCCTAGAGTCAGATTCGACTAGCTTTTAAGCAAGGGAAACCTTTACCTTTTTACTGTAACATAAGACACTCAATAAACTAAGTCCCTTCTTTTAAATACTGTGTTTAGGTAGTTGCCCTACTGTGAAGACTAATGGGCAAGTAACCACATTTTCCTGTAGTTCTTTATAGCAAGGACAGGCAGAAGATTGCAGACCATCACTGTTCAGTTTGTGGTGGAGCACCTAGCACCGTCTGGTTGCTGGGGTTCCTCAGAACATCACCCTCAGGGCTCGCAAGGCCTAGCTTTTGATTGGCCAGGCTTTTGATTGAGGACAGTGATGGGTACCACCTCACTGGAACTCCCCTTCTCTTCTCATTTGCCTGCTTCTCTACCTCTCCATGGTGCAGAGACACAATTGTAATGTTGCACTGAGACTGTTTTATCTATTTATTACCTCTGTACTATTTAAGCTGTTTTGTTATTTATGAATTTTTTACTCTTCATTGTCCACTGTCCTGAACCCTGTGTACTCGGGAAGGTGGTTTATAAATTCAAATTATAAATATAAATAAGTAGAACCTGTACTACTTATTTATAAATTATTTATAACTGTACTACTTATTTATAACTTATACTTATTCAAAGTATAATACTTATTCAAAGTATTTCTTATGTTCTTATTACAGAAGACTGCACTAACATATTAGTTATGGCTTAAGAGCATCTGAATAAGAAGCGTTGTTTTATAAATAAAAACCTCATTAATGAACAAGATGCATTTTTTAAAAAGCAAACCACACCAGACCGAAATCAGCCACCAGCTGAGAAATGTAAAGGCCTGAAAAAATCCACAGCCTCTCTTTTTTTTGGGTCTTCACATCTCTACCCACTGCCAATGTATACTGATCTTTGTAATTTGATCTGAGAGATCATCCAAAACTCTAGCATTAGTGGAGCCATGGGTATAAATTAGGAGCTATATGCAAGCTGATCTGAACTTTCAAGCAGGATATAGACATATAACTACTACCATATGTTACTTCCAGTACTTCTACCTGAGAATCTTTAACTGTAGATCCCAGAGAATGAATTTATGGCCTTGTACATGCAAAGTATTTGTTTTACTCTTGAGCACTGGACCCTTCCATTACACAGGTGGTGGAATCACTTGAAACTGTATTAGCCTTTACGAATAGTAATTACTTCCACAGAATTTTTTGAAGCAGACTACTTTACACGATTCATGATTCATTCAGATAACCCACTTCAGGGATACAGTTCATGCTGCTGATAAAATCTTTCAGTTTAGTAGATAAAATTGTAGCAACAATCCTAAACTAACTTTCTTTTTCAGTAACAGCTAAAAAAATATAAGAGAATTATAACTGCATACTGATTAAATGAGTTACCTAAATTAACAGTTCTGACTTGAAAGCACTGTTGGCATCATATAAATATATACTAACAATAAATGCCATACTGTTAGCCAAGGTAAATTTTTTAAAAATTGACAAAAGGGAAGTGGAACCTAAAAATATTTACTTGAGAGGGGGGGGGAAAGCAAACCTGTTTAATATAAAGCCCCTTCTCTTTTCCAAGCCTTCCATTTCCATACAAAAGTTTAACCTTTATCTAAAATGGACTAAAGCAATTTTATAGAAATTCTTCAATGCCTCTGACTTCCTGTTTGCATCATCAGTTGCCTTCATTTTTATTCCATTACACCTTTGATTTATCCCCCTAAACAATAGGTTCACATGACAGCTTCAACCTACTCTTTATTTATTTATTCAGAAGTAAACTGTACTGAGGCTTCCAAACAGCTCTGTTTAAGAATATAGTTCTATCCGGAGTTACTGCGGATTTTTTTTTTAAAAAAAGAAGGTGCTAGAACTCTCAAGAGGGAAATGAAGTTTTCAATCTGTATACTGAAAACTCATAAACGATTAAACATTTTTTCGAAGAATTCTGTCGAAGAGGTTCCAGAACTCCGTTCCAGTGCGCTCCCCCCAGAAGAAGAAGGGGGAAAAGGCCCCCGGTTCTAACCTATGACAAAGCCATTAGAAAGGCCAGTTCAGATTGCTTCCTAATGTTTCTCTTAAGCTTATGCCAAGTCTGTTACCTCTATACTGAAAACACAGATTCGGAATTATGATGAGTAATGTACTGTAATTCTTTGAACATGTAATAACGTTGTACATACTCAGGAACTCTTTACAGGATGTGAATGTAATTGGGAGATTTATCGTTCACTGTTTGAAATGTTAGAACTGTTAAAAATTGAAAATAAAGAAACATTATTATAAAAGAAAGGCTAGCTCCTTCTACCTATCTATAAAGCAGCTCCTCTGGCCCACAGTAAAACCTCAAAAAAACAAACCCCAGCAAATCCCTTTATGAAGATGAACCAAAAATAACACCGCGTTAAGCGTGCAAGCTGCTGTCATCCCGGCTGCTCTTCGTAATGGGATTAACACGGCCTGGGATCCTACTCCGGGCTGGGCTTCCCTTTCTTAAAAACCCGCAACCTTTTTGACTCCCTCCCCCCCCCCTCCCCTCCGAGGCAGGCCGGCGACTGTCTGCAGGATCGCAGCCATGATGAGGCGCCGGAGACAGAGGAGGCTTCGGCGCGCGCCAAGGCCTCCCCGCTGCATGGAGGAGGAGGGGGGGGGGTTTCCCCGCAGACAGACTCTGTGGGGGGGGGGGGGAAGGGGGTAAAACGACGGATTCTCCTCCCACCCACCCCCCAAATCTCCTGATGGGGAAGGAAAAGCCCTTTTCTCCTCATCCGCCGCCGCCAAACCCGCCGTCACTAACGTCTCCTGCGTTCGCGAGCGTCGCCATCGGGAGCCCGTTCGGATCTCGCAGCGCTCCTTCTCCTCCTCCTCCCCCCCCCCCCC